CAAATGAAATATAGTCTTGTCACTAATCGTGGTGGTACAATTAATGATAAGAGCAAATACATTTCCAGAATCATGTCATTTTAAATAGAACTTCCTTGAACCTTGAAAATGTTTTTTTTAACTTAAAGACAAAATCATTATGGTCCTAGCAGTAATAATGTCAGTCAACCACTTCTCACCAATTCATTTCAAAATTGGTTCTCAAATATTCGTTATTATGTTCACAGGTTTTGAAGACACTGTACACATTATGTATCCTACTTTGGAATTACAGTCTTTCCTATAGGACCTGCATATAAGTAGGCATATGTATATCTTTCTTAAAATTATAATGTTTCTAAATGGAAACAGTCCATAAAAATGCAACCAGTTCCAGTAATGATAGAAATCTAATTCATCCTCTTTATATTAATTGCCTCTCACTCTGCCTGAGAAAAAGGGAAGGTGATGGATCTAAGGGACGATTTTAAAGTTTAAAACCATGGGAAAATGCTGAGAAGATCCAACAGAGCCAGGTCAATTGCAATTTGGAGGGGAAAGGGCTGCTTGGCACAGAAATGCCCTGAGTGACTTGGAAAGCATTGTGGGTATATGGGGAAAGCACTGTGGGTATAGTTCTGTTTTCAGTACTTTTTTCTTTTAAATCAGACTTCTCAGAATTTTGTCTTATTTATCTTTTCAAATAATTATTTATTTATTTATTTTGTATTACTTTTTTTTTTTTTTTTTTGAGATACAGTCTCACTCTGTCGCCCAGGCTGGAGTGCAGTGGTGCGATCTCGGCTCACTGCAAGCTCTGCCTCCCGGGTTCATGCCATTCTCCTGCCTCAGCCTCCCAAGTAGCTGGGACTACAGGTGCCCGCCACCATGCCCGGCTATTTTGTATTTTTAGTAGAGACGGGGTTTCACTGTGTTAGCCAGGATGGTCTCCATCTCCTGAACTTGTGATCCGCCCGCCTCGGCCTCCCAAAGTGCTGGGATTACAGGCGTGAACCACCGCGCCTGGCCAAACATTTTATTTTCGGTTCATCATCTGTCTGCTTTATTCTCCTTGTAACTGATTTCTCTTATTATCTTTTTTTTTCTCCCCTCTCATTTCTTTATGCTGGGATTCTTTTTCCAATTTATCAAATTGAATGCTTTGCTTATTTGCACACAATCATTTTTCCCTTGATAAATGAATTTACAGTCCTAAATTGTTCTATGAATACCACGTTAGCAGTGTCTTGAAAATGCTAATAAGTAGTATTTTCAGTTCTAAGAATTGAAAGTTTCTCTTTTGATTTCTTTTTATGTAGTGAGTTATTTGCCACTGTCAACAGGGTGTTAAAATTGAACCTTTCCTATCTCCCAAGTTGACTGGGGCCTTAAAGCTTAAAGCAATAGATGCTGATCATACCTAGATTATTACAACAAGCGTTCAGGGCTGTTTCAATTACTGTCTCATAAATACTCTAACTGGGAAGGTAAATGTTGCAATATCGAGGAAGCTGAAACTGCATATATATTCTGCAACACAGAAGAGCAGAGGAAGTTTGCTGCATTTTAAAAAATAATAGAATATTAGAAATCAATATCGAAATGGAGAAATAATTTATAGCATATGTATGATGAAATATTCTATAACAAAAATTATTAAAAACCCACATCTATCAATATGAATGAATTTCAAAAATACAATGCCGAGTGAAATGGCAAGTTCCAAAATATATGCATTATATAACACAGGCGAAAACAAAAATACAAGTTGAGTATCCCTTCTCCAAACAGCTTGGGACCAGAAGTATCTCAGATTTTTATTTTCTTAGGATTTTGGAATACTTGCATTATACTCACCAGCTGAGCATCCCAAATGCAAATATCTGAAATCCAAAATGTTCCAATAAGCACTTCCTTTGAGCATCATGTCAGCACTTTAAAAGTTTTGGATTTTGGAGCATCTCAGATTACAGATTTTCCAATTAGAAAGACTCCAACTTGTACAAAACAAAACCATAAAACAATGTTTTTGTTTGTTTGTTTTTTGTTTTTTGTTTTGTTTTTTTCCCCAAGATGGAGTCTTGCTTGTTGCCCAGGCTGGAGTGCAGTGGCACTATCTCAGCTCATGGCAAGCTCCGCCTCCCGGGTTCACGCCATTCCCCTGCCTCAGCCTCCCAAGTAGCTGGGACTACAGGCGCCCACTACCGCACCCGGCTAATTTTTTGTATTTTTAGTAGAGACGTGGTTTCACTGTGTTAGTCAGGATGGTCTTGATCTCCTGACCTCGTGATCCGCCCGCCTTGACCTCCCAATGTGCTGGGATTACAGGTGTGAGCCACCGCGCCCGGCCTAAAACAATGTTTTTTCCACTACTTTATGTCGTTTATGGCTTGAAAGACATAATGCAAATATAGAAAAACAACGACATAATAAATCAAGGTGGTTGGTACCTGATGGCCTTCTATATAATTTTTATGCTCATTTTGATTAGAACATAGTTTATATATGTTTAATAATTTTAAACTGAAGTTTACCACCATTATATTTTGTTTCAATCTCTTCTTTTAAAGAAAAAATGCTTAAAAATTAATTCTCAGCCATATTTACTTCTGGGTAAGTTTGCAGTTGTATATTTAATGTACATGCATAGTACCCCTATATTGTAGGATTTTTCACTTTACAAATGTAAAAGAGAAATAGAAACCAAAGTAAACCTCTGTGGCTCTGGTATGCTGACTTTGTATGGTCCCTTTGGGAAGATAGTGTAGGACAACAGAAAAAGCATGGAGTCAGAAGTCAAACCGACCTCAGGTCAAACCACACTTGTCATCTGAAGTGACCTAAGATAAATATTTTACCCTCTAGTAGCCTCAGTTTACTTATCTGTTAAGCAATGGCTAAATTTCAAAATTGTTGAAAGATTATTTAATTACGATACAAAGCAAGTGGGAAGTATTCCATCAATACTAGTTATTACTAACATTGTTAGTTATTTCCACAACTGCAATTATACGTATTTGTGTCAGAGATGATGTCTGAAGGAAATAAAAAGATATTCTAAGAAATAAATGGACATAATAATTTTAATAAAGAATTAATTAAAAAGTTGAGGTAAGGCATCTAGTTTAGTTTTATTTTTAAGTAATTCAACGCAATTTTAATATGCTTGTGTCCTTTATGAGGCAGGAATTTACACCGAACCTAGTGGAGATGACTTGTCTTTGTTGCACGATGTCCGGAGAATCAGCTGGAGAAGCCGATAGGCTATGAGTGAATGTTTGAATGTCCCTTTGCTTGTTTTCAAAGTAATTTTTCAAGTTTTTTTTTTAAGTGTCTACTACTCTAGGGCATTTTAGAATTAAAGTAGTATAAATGACTGTGAAAACTTATAGCTGTCAATTGAAGATCAACCAAAAATTAAGAGAAATCCCTAAAAGGATAATATAACTCAAATAAACAGAAAGAGTTGATTTTGACATATGGTTTTAAGAACCTGGCTATTATGTAAAGTGGCAAATTTATTTGTGATTCGTGGGAAGAATATTTACTATCTTATATATAATTATTTTATTTATCATGATATGTACATCAGTATGTTACATATAGAAAAATCAGGACCTAGAAAACTAGATTGAGCTCATATTTGCTTTGTGGAAACAGACTATATACATGTACAACTAAAATACTCATCTGGTTTGTCTAGGCTTAATTTTATTTCTGTAGCTAATTAAAACTCTAATTTTCCAATAAGTCTGCCCACAGATAAATGGCCACTTTTTTAGCCATCCGTGGGTGGCTGACTCACCCTGGTTCACAAGCCTCAATTCTGTATAAAAAGGAAATGGAAAAACATCCTGAATTGTAAGCAATCAAAATGCCATCAGAAACTAACAACACAGTTTAATTAAAAAGAAAAATCCATAGTAATTCATTTTTGTTCCTTTCCCCTCTTCACACAAGAAAATAAGAGGTAATACAGAGAAGCAATTAAAATGCAGTCTCCTTTTGCCCTCAGGGTGTGTGCCTCGAAACTTTGCCAATGAAATAATTAGCTCCAAATTTCTCATTTCTTTCCCCTTCGTAATATTGAAATTGCTTCTGGTCTTCCTTCAGAAACAAAGCACTTCCTTTGCCTCTTTAGTTAACCCTAGGCTTCTAAGAATCTTTAGTAATCTCGTTATTCTATCAAAAGGCTAAGGCTGTGTGGTTACAAGGCCATTGTCACTATTTGATTAAGATCCCAGGTAAACTGAAAACCAGTCTAATTTCATGAACACACTGGATTTGTGTAACCTCTGAGATGGACTGATTGGCCTGAAATTAAAGAGTAGGAGCTCATGAATATATCTGTCACCAGGAGAGATGATAGGAAGGTGGATTCACTGAGCACGAAGGCATCAAGACTGTTGTGGAACTTCAGCATGCATCCTACACTCTCACCATGATCAGACCTCAAAAGAAAGCACATGTACTGTTCTGATCTACGAACAAATGCTTTACTGCTTACCCACAGAGACTGCAACCACAACATGGGCAGCACCTAGCTTTAGCCAACAAAACCATGTGGCAATATTGGGTAGAGCACACGTGCACAGGCTCAGGACTGAGGACCAATGAAACAGCAAGATAACGTGTTCACAAATGAAAAACCACGTGTCACTTTCAAGCTACTCATGATCACTCTCATGCATGTCTTTATGATGTGGCAAACAGGGACGTCTGATAAACGCTAGACTCCAGAAAAGAAGACCCTGGTGAGGTTTAAAGTATGGGGAGGTCCACATGCAAAGGGCTCAAGGTGGCTCAGGAGCAAGAGAAATGGAAGGTGGAGCTCCATGAAGAGTTTGGGGTAGATAAAAGTGAGCAAGTTGCATGGAATGTCAAACACAGAGTAGCACCTGCACAAGACAGCCTGAGCGCCATTGAAAAGAGAATCCTGCCCATTGGTGCACAGCCCACAGTACATCCTCTCCCAGCAATCACAGTGGCACAGAGGAAAAGAACAGCGAGAGGACTCTTACTGTAGCACGCGGGAGTGGCTGAGATCTTTCAGATCTGAGTCCTCATAATAGGGAGCTATCATCCCCAGCCCACTGTCACTCAGCATGCGTTTCCGCAGGGCAGGATTCCACCAGTCTGAGATCCTGAGAGAAAGAAGGGCACCAGACAGTTACGCATTCAAAGTCAGCCACGTGACTTCATCTCCACTTTCTGAAGATGAATCTTGCCTGTAAATGTGAGAGGCAAAATTCATCTCTATGGAATGTTTACCAGATACTACATATTTATTATTTCATTCACTTATCTCAACAATCGTGAACTATTTGTATGATTCTGTCCCCTTTACAGATGAGAAAACTGATTTTCAAGATTAAGTCATTTTAAATGTGACATGAATAAGAAGTAATAGACCTAGTGTGGAAATGCAGATTAGAAAATAACAAAGTCCATCCTGTTTCACTGCTTCCCTGATCCTGGTTTAGTTCTGGGGAGGCAACTGATGAGAAATAAGAAAGGCACTGATTCAAGTCCTGGTGGATTTTCAGGCTCCTTTATTTTTGGAGCTAGAGCTAACAGAGGTCTAGCCAGGCCAAAGCAATTCCTTTTGGCCATTATTTGACATGAAGAAAACGACCATACAAAAAATTAGCCGGGCATGGTGGCGGGCACCTGTAGTCCCAGCTACCCGGGAGGCTGAGGCAGGAGAATGGCATGAACCCAGGAGGCGGAGCTTGCAGTGAGCCGAGATTGCGCCACTGCACTCCAGCCTGGGCGACAGAGCGAGACTCCGTCTCAAAAAAAAAAAAAAAAAAGAAAGAAAGAAAACGAAAAAGAAAAAGAGAATGACCAAGTGAGCAAAGACCAGGGCAATTTGGCAGAATGGACTTTCTCCTTACTAGATCAAGAGCCAGAGGCCAGGTTAGGTGGGCTAACCTGGCTCTAGCACCTGCTGCTTCTGCAGTAGGACAGAACATTCTACCTTCTTTCCCCACTACTGATGGGTCTGACGCATGGATGTGCCCTGCGAAGGTGGCCTTCCCCACCACCTTTGGGGCTCCCAGGGGTGTATCAGGCTACCCCTTGTGCCTGTCAGCCTTCCCTCATGCTCTGACATCGTGGCTCTAGCTTCCTGAGAACAGCTTTCTATCTGTTCTACACAGCCACTTGTGGCCTCTCTTGTCTCCCCCCAGACTTGGTACCTACTGGACATCAACTGCCCCTGGCAGAGTGAGAAACCACTCACAAATAGCAGCAGTGAAGCAAAAAAGTGAAAAAAAAGTAAATCAAGTGACAAGGGGAAAACAGGGATGAAAATGACATTGCAGTTGTGCTAGCCTAGTGGCCTGTTTATTCATACTGTATGAGGATGTGTATACCATTTGCATTAACTATTTGGGTACATTGTGTATGGTTTCTAGAGCAATTCTTATTTCAATAATTCAGGCCCCATAGACCAGTAAAACACTAAATTTCACAAGGGCAAAGATTCTTATCTGTTTTTATTTTTGTACTGTTATTCCCCAAGTGCTGACACTAAGACCTGGCACACAAAATTCTCTAAATAAATAGTTTTGAATTACTGAAATAACCTAGAAATATTAATTATGTTTTGGTGGTAGAAGATGGTCATTAAATGCATGGGCTCTGGCATCAGGCAGCCCAGGACTGTATCTCATTTTTTCTACTTATTTTCTGTGAAATACTAGGCAAGTAACATAACGCTTTAGGTCTCAATTTTTTAATCTATGAATTAAGAATAATTGTTCCAAATTTTCAAGGTCACTGTGGAATGATGATGATGATTATTATTATTATAACATTCTATTTAATGCGTGTTTTAAAAATGCCAGGAATGACTTTAAGTGCTTTATCTGTATCAATTCTTTTAATCACCAAACAATTCTCTGAGTGAGGATTATTATTATTTGTATTTTACAGATGAGAAAATAAGCACAGAGCACTTAAGATGATTAAGTCACTATGAAGTGGTGGTAGAAATAGAAGAGAGACACAGGACAGAGCTCCTAAAAAGTGCTTGGTACATCATAGTTATTATACAATCTACGTGTCTCCAGCAGCCTGGAAATAGCAAAGAGGAGGAAGAGGAGAAAAACTGTCAAATCACCTGTGTCAATTTTTAATGTAGATAACAGAGTTACTACAAAAGTGTAAGCACAAACACAAGTACTAGTGTTTTCTAGGTTTGTTAGGAAGAGTTGCTGTGATGGAGAAAAGAAGGCTTGGACATGGTGCAAATCTGGTTTTGTGTTTCTGCACGGCCATTCATAAGACAGACTTACAATAACCACTCTAAGGAAACCCAACAAGAAAATCTACATTTCAAAATCATTTGATGTCATTACAATGATGTCAAGTTCAAAGGCGAACCAGACATGGATGTCACCCTGAGGCCAGCCTCACAGGCAAGGAGAGGCACACTCACCCCGAGGCTTGCTCCACCACCAGGTCAGGCATGCCCGGAGGTGTCCCCGCTGGCTGTGACACCACCATATCTGGGTCCAGAATAAAAATCTCATCTTGGGAAATCTCCATCACAAAGTGCAAATGTTCCTAAGGAAGAACAAGAAGTCTGTTGCATGAAGAATAACAAAACAAGTATTCTTGGTCTCAAGGAATAATGAAATTCTCCAACATGTCAAAGGATCACAGTGTGTTGTCAGAGCTTGATCAGCTGATGATCCTCCCCAAAGCTGCGCTATGGCAGGCAGTGGGAGATGGGGAGAGATGAATCCCCTTGGTTCAGGATTTCCAATTAATCAGGATTTTTTTTAGGTATATCTAGAAATGGCTGGCCTCATCTTCCCAAATACTATTAGAGAAGTGACACCCACATACCATTGACCCAGTGAGAGCGTATGATAGCCTGGACTTCCACCCCATCATCTGGTCAAAGCTAAGCAGCATGGTTAACATCTTTATCATTAGGTTCAATACTGTACATTTTTTTTCTAGGATAATTCAGATAATGGGAGGACTTCTTAACTTGGGCAAAACCATATTTTTTTTCTCATCGCTGACCTCTAGGGATTGGCAAATTGAAACTAAGTAGTCTAGTTATACACTTGGGACCTCAAACTTGCTAAACAGAAATGAGCTTAAAAAGACATACAAAATTTGGCTAAGAAGGAGTAAAAATATCTTTGTGAATGAAAATTTGGAGTATAGGCTGGTGATAATGTCTACAAGTCAACTTATTTTCTGTACTCATTTGCAAGATCAAGCCGTATCATCTTGAGTCCATAAATCATAAAACATGTGAAGATAAATAAAAGACTCATAGCTTAGGTTATGAACACCATTCCAAAATTTGTAAGTGTCTCAGTGTGTTTTGTTAGAAAAATTTATGAGATTAGCTACCAACAAAGTACATTAACTTGGGAATTTTTCACTTTTACAAGCAGGCTGGAAAAAAACTTACCTGAGATCTGTCTATTCGATAAAAGCGATCAGCAGAAGTTGCTAGGGGAAAAAGAAATGCAGATGGCATTCAGAATGTTCTGTAATCTGGCATCAAATTTATAACCTTCTCTTCGACTATGCTGGTCAAAACCCCTACATGATGGTCGTGCTAGTCTCCTGGCCAGTCCCTAAATCTATTAAGAAAACTTCAGCACTTCCATGCCTCTGCCACTGCTATTCTAAGGCTTAGAAAGCCCTGGCCATTGCCTCTGCCATCTAAATCATACTTGTCTTTAAAGAACTAGCTCACATGCTTCTGCTTCTGTAAAACCTTTCTCAGTCCCAACCTCCCTACCCCAGACAGAATGTATTGACCCTGCCTCCATGCACATTTACATTTTTTAAAACTTCTTATACATACTATCTTCACAGATAACCATGAGACTAAGAGACTTTGCCTCTTTAAAAATCTGTTTCATTTAATCTTTTATGCCTCCTGAAATTAGCACAGGATCTTAAAGAAAGTCAGGAATTGCTATGTATTTATTAAGTAAATAAAGCTAGAAAAAGCTATGGTTACGTAGACTTCTCAGGGAAGTGACTTCCCATTTTGGAAAACGGCTTGAAGATTCAGGCCAGGGACCATATGTGGTCTTAAATGAATCATTTCACTTTCAACCTGCATCCTTAGAGCCATGTCTGAAGGAAGCCAAAACAGCAAAAAAATTATTTAAGCATTCTCTAAAAGAGATTGAGCTGCATCTATGGTATGAGGAAAAAAAAAAAAACCTAAATTAGAAATTTTAGGTTTCTAGAAATTATTTTAAATATTCTTAATATTAGAAAGAACTATCAGCTGCATTTCGCGAAGCTCAGGTGGGAGAACTACTTGAAGCCAGGAGTCTGAGACCAGCCTGGGCAACAAAGCAAGACTTCATCTCTACAAAAACAATTTTTTTTAATTAGCTGGGGATAGTGGTATGCCCCTGTGGTCCCAGGTACTTGGGAAGCTGAGGTGGGAGCATTGCCTGAGCCCAGGAGTTCAAGGTTGCAGTGAACCGTGATCATGCCACTGCACTCCAGCCTGGGCAACAGAGTCAGACTCCCATCTCAAAAAAAAAAAAAAAAATCAAACCAAAAAGAATGATGTGCTTCTCACTTACATCTATCTAACAAAACCCAAATATTATAAGTAGATTTTCTACAAAACAAACAGCACAAGAAAGAAAAACTCAAAATGCAAGTAATTATTTTAAATTCACAAACACTTAATGAGTAGCTTCTCTCCAAAGGGGACTGAACTAAGAAACCAGCCAATCATTGTCCCTGCTCTCTAAAATCTAAGAATAGAATAAAATCTGCCTTGGAGAAATTGAATCTATTTTGTTCTTTTAAACCATGACTGCAATTACCTTTCAAAGGTTTTTTTAATAAACCTATGGAGTGAAACTACATCTGGGTTAAGACTGTCAGCCACAACAGTTGTAGTTTTATCTAAGACTTTAGATAGAACATAACATAAATATTTTCATAATTTTCTGAAATACATGTTGTTCCTCTGCAAATTCAGGAATGACAAATGATTATGTTTCTCATTGCTATGGAATAAAGAAGCTGGAGGGAAGTCCTCAGAGGCAGCTGACGAGACATTAACAAAAACTTGCATCATGATTTGTGTGGGTTAGATCTCATATAAATACAAGTGGCCATCTTCATAACACTAGAAAAATATGCCTATGGCATTTAAAGTGTTCTGTGATCTGGCACCAAAGTTATAACCTTCTCTTCCACTATGCCAGTTAAAACCCTTACATTCCAGTCATGCTAGGCTACTGGACAGTCCTTAAATCTTAATAGATCTCTGCTGCTGCCATCCTAATGCTTGTTCATACACTCACAAATCCTGTCATACTCATATTCACGTTTATATCCTCTCAGACGCTCACCCAGATAAACAAAAAAGAGGTCTGCAATGAAAACCGTGTCTCCATATGAACAAGAGAGAGAATGAGTAGTAGATACATTGGGTAGTATGTAAGCATGAATATACAGAGGTGAGAAGGTATGCAATATGGGTAATTGGATAGAAATGTAATATCAGGCAGCATCTAGGAGACAGATATTTGAGATAAAAACAGACTCATTAAACAACCATAAAATAACTAACGTGTTATGCATGCAATATGTTGTGCTGATCCAAGCAGATGTGAATGCAACTGAATTTTTCTACCTTTCTCCAGAAATGTATACATCATACTGCAATAATGGTCTCATAAAAATAATATGAATGTTCCATAAGATGCAAACAACATAGAAATTAGTATCCATCCTATGCTTATAGAATCCAGCTACTGGTCTGAATTAATTTAAGGCAGGCAGTCAAGTTTTAAGAAACGAGGGCTGATGAAAAGGAAACATCAGCCTGAGCAACTTGATGCTGAGTTCAGCCAGAGTTAACCAAGTTGTGTTGAGGGAAATGACTTCAGGAAAGGACAGGGCAACATTAGTAGGTCCACATTGTTCCGCACATAAAAACCAGCCATGTGGAGTCACAAGAAGGCTTTCTGAAAAATCTTTTGGAAAACTAGAGTCCTCCCCTATCAAATGATGCCTTGCTCTTCAACCTCCCCAACTCCCATGATACCCACAAGAAATGCAGAACTCACCATCTAGGAAGCACCACCGAGGGGAGAGCCTCTGTGCTGAGAGAGCCCTGGGGAAGGAGGTTTCATGGTCCTGGAAAGAGACACACACATTCTAGTGGCTCCATTTCAATAACCTGATGGGCTTCCCTCACTCAGCATTCTGCCATCCTTTCCTACACAAAGCACTGGTGAGAAGACCAAATCACATTTTTTTTTCTCTAGGAACAGAAAGAAGGGCTCTGCTTTGAAATTCTTTCACATAGAAATTTTAAAAATAACTCCCTCATAAAATTACCAGGAGGTTCTCAATTATTCCATTAAATATTTTCTATTATTCCATTAAACATAAATAATCTATTTTAGGACATTTACTTCTTATGGGAATTTCTTTCTTTCCCTTTGTGAAGCCAAGGAACGAGTGACAGCTGGCTGTCATTGACACCTAGGTCTAAGGCACTGGCACAGAATGAGAATGAATCAAACGTTATCTACTGGCCACATGGGACATACAGTACGTGAGAAAAAGCAGCAGCGATCCATACACAGGGGCTGTTCATCTACATGGGAACAAAATCAACCTTACACCTTGAGGTCATCTCTAACCTCAGCCTTCTCCACTGAACCCAATTACAGAGGAGTAGACAAGGAAGAAAAGTAGTGCCAGGTTAACCAATGACAAAATCACTCTGTCCAACACTCACCCAAACTGCAACGTGCTCATTCACCTGAGCATTTTCTAGGCGTCTCACGTCTGTGACCTCCCAATTACCCCTCCCTATTTAACATCAAGTCTGCCTGACATAACTGCCATCATTCTTTCCTCTGAGTTTGGATAAAAATATGTCTCTTCTCTTCAAAGCCAATCACTTAATTTAGACTCTAGACTATCTTTCTTTCTCCTTTGAACTTTATTTCTGTAGCATTATTAAAATCCACTCATTAATTCTTCTGCTCTCAATAGCTCCCTCTCTTCCAAAATACATTCCCCTCAGCTGATCTTGTTACATCTATTTTTTATTGCTATTTTATTTATATTTTATTTTTTGAGACAGGGTCTCATTCTGTCTTCCAGGCTGGAGTGCAGTGGTGTGATCATGGCTCACCATAGCCTCGGTTTCCTGGGCTCAGGTGATCCTCCAGCCTCAGCCTCCCAAGTAGCTGAAACTGAAGTTGATATATCTTTTGAAAATCTTCTTAAACTCTCCTTTCTTGCCCTTCCAAACGCCTGAAGCTTATGTTTATTATCTCCTGCTCCAAGTCTCACTTACACGCCTCAGACATGACCTCTAGAAGCCTGGCCTCTGACCTCCCGGGCTTCGAAAAACTGCCCTTCCAACAGATTGCCAGGACTGGCTTGCTTCCCTGATTTACTACAGTTCTCAGTTCCCAAACTTCCTTGAAGTCTCAGAAGCTTTTATTTCTTATAAAGAATTAAGGCTATATCCACGAAACAGAAGAGAGAACTGGCAGATTGAAAACTGAAAGGATTTTCTCTTCAGATTCCAAACTTTTAAAAATTAAACATTTTCTCTACTAAGAGAAGCCTGTCAATGATAACCAGGGTGGAAGGAGAGCACCTTCTAGTTTACAACATGTGATTTGGAGCATTCTAGCCCGGGTTTGCAGTGGAATTGAAATCACTGACAGAAATGGGACAAATGAGGGAGGCCAGGTCTCTGAGGGGAAGACACTGGGAGTCTGGCCCTTATTAGGGATTTGAAATGTTCAAATGTAGGGAGCAACATTGGGGTGCGACTGTGCAGGCAGCAATAAAGACGTGGCAGCTGAAGCTGCAGGTGTGGATGATCTTATGTGTACAGAGGGGACAGGAGAAGAAAACAGGAATAACATAGAAGTAATAAGGACCCAATCAGAGGTTGTACTGACTTTCTTGGTAGTTACTCAACACTCCCTGCTGCCCTACTTGATCCTCAAATAAAGCCTGGGCTTAAATCACTTGTTCTCAAAGTGTGCATCAGCTGGAAACTTGTCAGAAGCACAAATTTCCAGGGCCCATCCCAGGTCTACAGAAGCACTATGGGTGGAACCCAGTAATGTGTTTTAACAAGCCTTTCAGATGAGTCTGAGGATGTATGTGAAAGAACCTAACATTACCAAACAAAAGGGAGGTATCTTAGTAAACTAGAAACATTGAGTGTATGGAGTTTTACTCTAAATGAATTCTGTGAATTAAATAATTGATAGAGGAAAAACTGGTCTCATTCAGGAATGCTACCAAAATCTGTATTTATAAATATAAAATATATCCATATAGCTATAGATACAGAGATACTATATACTACATATAGAAAAAAATATATGTTACATATAGTCTCTCTTGCTCTATTATGTATATATATTCTATATATACATGTATATATATTCTATATATACGTGTATATATATTCCTCTTTTTTGAACTGAATTTTCATCCTGATTGTTGAGCTAAATGAAATCTTGACATGTGCTTAGTAACTATTTATATGAGAAATATGTGTAATATTTTGAGAATTATATTTTGACATGTGTGACATCTTGTTTTAAAGGAACTTAAGGTACTTAATGCATTTTTGTAAACCAGATAAAGCTGCTGACGTCTCTCAGTTGGGTGAGAAATGTAATTATAGACCAATAAATTTGGAAGTGATTCAAAATATTTAGTGGCAACTATGAAAGCTAATAAATAAAGAGATTAAACAGAAACAGGATTATCTTCTCTATGAATAAAGGAGCTAAAACACAAGGACCCTTTCTGCATTTTGATGTTGAATATGCTGCAGAGGACACTATAAAAACATATCCTAATTTCCCTAGGTAAAAATCAACAGAAAGAATACAGGAATGCTTGATTTATCATTTTAAAAACCTAAGGATCCATCACACTATCTCTAGGCTATTCTAATTACAGAATATTGGATGTTATTTAGTCTAGGTTAATAAAATCCAGATTGAGGCACTGCCTCAGCAACACAACTACCATAGGTTGGTAAGGAAATACAGATGGTGTGTATCTTTTTACGTGCAGGTGGCTGTCTGTCTGGAGAGTTTTATGCCCATGCCTGACTTTATTAATGTAGTTCGCTTTTGTTCACTTATTTATTCAACATTTTGATCCATGGATGGAAACTGCAAAAATGTTTGACCTACAGAAACATCTGATATAACTCAATGTTCTTAAAGAGGTTTTGTCTAATGATAACATTATAATTTTGTTTGGTGAAAACACATTGGTCACTATAAAGCCCTTTAAAATACTTTAATGGGTCCTCAAACAGGTTCAACAATTCTTGAACTCTCCAAAATTGTACACTAGATTTGGTATGTCTGTGGGTATGTTCATTTTCCTGGACAGAAAAACCACTGCTTTCTAGATTATCAAAGTGATCTGAGATTCCCAAAATGCTGAGAGAAAAAAAAAAAAAAAAGCTATTAATTTAAAGAATCAAAAATTTAGGTCAGAGGGAATTCAGCAAAATAAGAAGATTCTGATCAGTAAAATGCCTTATAAGAATAGGAATCACCGATTCAAAGTTACCGGTAATTGTAATATCAAAACAACAAACAACAAAAGCTCTCTGAGCTTATGGCTATTCTCCTAGCAGCGGACTAAAACTAGGTCAATTTCTACATGGAAGAACTCAATTTTTTGCTTATTTCCATCCATGGTCTCTCCCAAGTGTTTGTTTTCAGTGCCTTATGTTCTTCTACTTATGTTCATTTTTATAAACAGACAGAGGAAAAATGTATTTATATTTACCATTGGATGGTATTAATAATTGAAGTTAAACAATACATCATTAATTAAAGGCATAGGAATCTGATTTTAAAAGACAATGTTACTTAAAATAATTGGATACTTTCCTGGTGACCTGAACATTAAACTGCAATTTTGGGAGTTGTTAGAAAAGCAAAAGTAGAGCTCTAACTTCTCTGAAATGCTTCCCTGAAATAGATTTGCACCCTATTTCAACTTTTTTGAAGCTCTTTCCACCTTGTTCATTTTTAAAAAGTGAGTTCTTAAAGAAAAGCTACTCACATAATAGGTTCTATGTTAAAAGTCATTTGACTTTCAATGAAAAACTGTAATTACTATCTGGGTAGATTCATAATGCAATTAAACTACTTATTTAAAAATTCTACATATATAAAATGTACAAAAGCATCAAGTCTCAAAAAAATTTGCTCTTGAATCTAGTCCATGTACATATCTATGCAGATGAAAATGCTTCACCTACATTGGGACACTAGAAATTGGAGATTTTTTTGAAGTCAGTGTTAAAATGATGTTCTAGTGTAGCAGATTGACAATATGCAAAATATACCTACAAAATATGCCAGCAATCTGTAAAATAAGCAACAAGAAAATCCAGGTATGAAGCACAAATGGGTGCTGAAAATATATCTCAAAGATCCGAGAGAGAATAGGAGGTGAAGAGCAGGCTAGGGACAGAAAAGTTGGTGGTGGTTGAGGTGGCGGTGGTGGATGTTGGATTTCACTTGAGTTGAGAAACAGAGCAAAAAGATAGTGAGAAAGTCTGCTTCACAAAACTGAAATTTTTGTAGGATGTGATCATCATTATCACAGACAAGCTAAGAATTGAGATGCCAAAAAATGTTCCTGTCCTGGAGGTGTTAAAATATCGTAGGGGAGACAGATCTGATGAATGAGATGGAAAAACAAGGCGAGAGATTGTATGTGATCCAGCCCCAATTAAGCAGCAAGCCCAGAGGCGGCGGAAGGCTGATGGGATGCGCACCAGCTTTGAGAGGCACGACAATCCTGGCGCCCGACTCTTCACCCGCTACTCGCTGTGAGAGTTTAGGATAGTTTCTTATCCAGTTCCTTGAATACCTCATTTTAAAATGGCTACAATAATATCTAACATAAGGGTTCTTTTGAGGAATTAATGACACATAAAATGCTTAACCCATTAGCGGAAACGTGTTTATGTGCAGATAGAATTATCCGAGAGATAATTATATCTCATGCTAGGCAGCTGAGACATTATTTTACCTAAAACAATTCTGCCCTTAGTCATATGAGGGTCTCATGGGACACTGGCCACATTTCAGACCTGGTCATTTAGATGG